GACAGCTTTCTGAAAAAAATAATTTAATCACTCGAAAGCCTAAATGCTATTCTTTGGCGAGACAACTAGTAGCTTCATTTGTGGGGTCAGTTGTGACAATTATGGTATGCATGGGAGATTTCATGTTGCAAATGGCACAATGCACTTAAAGTTTTGGAAGCAGTGGTGGAATTAACTGGAAGGGTTTTCACATCTAACACCCTGAAGCTATTCTTCCTAGGAAGTCGACAGAAAAGTATCCTGGAACAAGAGCTGGATAACCTCACAAAGTTTGGTAATTCTAGAGAAACTGTTTGTACCAGGTGTCCTACTGGACAGATTCTTGCACTTGTTAATAAACACTTGCATACTAGCAGAGGTTAGTCAAAAGAAAGGCAAAAGTCTATATTCTCCAGCTTATCCTTGGACCAAAAGCCCATGATCTATCTGATGGCTCTTAGGTTAAGTGTATCCTGCTATGAGAAATAGTTAAGGCAGTGATGACAAAATAAGTATTGAGCTTCACAATAACTAGCCTCTGTAACGCAGACAGTGTTTCGCTCCCCCGAGACAAAACACAGTCTGCGAACCCGAGAGAGAATTCTATTTCACCAATCAGAAATCGCCTACAGAAAATGGTAAGATAGCCCGCAGGACATTTATGTGGCGATCATACGGCATCGCGGGACGGACGCTAATTTCCGACGTATATGACGGGAACATTAAACATTAAAGAACTTCGCGAGTATTTGCAGTAGACATACGAAAATACCACCAAAAAATTCCGCTTGATCGATACTATATATTCAGAAATATTCATATAATTTTATTGTTTCTCGCTCAATTTCAAGCGAATTTCTTACCTTGAAATGATCAATGCGGTGAAATTTATGCAAATGACACATTATCAATTTTGCTGTTGCATTTTGAATGTTCCGCCTGATTCAAATGCTCGTCTTTTTGCTTCTTTTCAACGTATAATAATAACAAATATACCAAAAGAATCGCCATCTTCCATTCTATAGCTCGGAGCAGTCTCGGGAAATTGCAAAATAATCTAAGCCTATTATGGCAATTCTCGTGATCGGAAAGTGTTCGGCCAACTTCGGACGCCAAATTCTTGGTAAAGCATTACAGTTTCCTGGTAAAAGACTGCAGGAATCACTTCCGGAGTGTTTGTTTACCCTACATACGGATTTTGATTGGCTTAGACAGAAAAACAAATCTTTTAGAGCAATTTTCCTGATTATCTCGCACGGGAACGCACGAGCGTTGAAATGTATTGTGTTGTAGTTTTGTTTGAATCGCATTCTGAAGACGTTTTTGGCTTTATTTTGCAAACTGATAGTGCTAGTAATGATGGAATGTCTTCGTATGAAGACAAGTATCTCAACCTGGCATTGGGAGTCGTGTCTGGAGTTTCAAGGCAAGTATTTGTATCATTTCTAGACAATTTCTATTTCAATGTTTTGCCGTTGCCATGGCGTTGTAAATTTATTTGTATTTAGTATAGCTTCACTAGTACGACCAAGTATGTCCTCATATCGCTTTTTGTGTTGAAATAATCGTTTCATACTGAAATTGACAAATATAAATGGTATTTATTTATATTGTTGACGAAAATTTATGGTGTTTTAGGCATAAAAATCTCTGATTCCTAGGCGAAGTAAAATGAGCCTTGAGCACATGTTTTGGTTGTTTGTTACATACATAATAGCCAAGTATTCATACTTTATATCTTACTAGTTGGCTCTTATTATAATTTTAAGTGGCACCATGTCTATAAAAGTTTTTATTCGCACTGATGAATATATTGATCCTGTTCCTATCTGCTGTTCCTGTTTCATAGCTGCAGGGAAGTAGAGTTCTGATGAGTCATGAGAACCCCACTCACCAACCCAGAGGGAAGGTAGGGGGATGTGTAGAGATAGAGGGAAGCCCAGCCATTAGGACCTAAGATTTCGAAAGCTCCCTGTCTAGCATCCCCACTAGGCCCCATAGTACATGACGGATATGATGATCCTGACGCCAGGAATGTTCTTCCAGATTTTGCTCCTCACTGACATGTCCGGGATCCATTTCGATCAACTGTGAGCTTGAGTTCATTCGGCTCAATGAACTGTGAGCTTGAGTTCATTCGACTTTTTTTTACTAAAGGAATGCTTCAGGAGGTAGTTTCCTGGCCATACCAATACATATGCCCACATACAAATAACTCAAAAGTTATCCCCATATACTAATAAAAAAGGGTCTTGCAGTCCACCAACCTTGAGAAGTTTATTGCCTTTTAGTATAATATGCAGGTTTGCTAAAGGTCGACAGTGAGATTGAAAATTATTGGAGTGTAAAAACCTTATATCATGGTCTGTGGGCAATAAACATAATTTCTCGGGTTAGGTACAAAGCGCTTATGGCGTTTGTGAATATGGTAGATCCTGTACTAAAGACTACAGCAATAA